TATTTAAACAATGAAATTTGCACACATACTCACCTCTGCACAGTGGCTGGCCTTAGAACAGGGCCTTTGGCGTGATGGTGTGAGAAAGACAGAGCTCTGAGTCCAGCCCAACAACCTTGGGCAAGTTTTATCTGTAAAGTGGGAATCAAAACACCTATGTCATAGATCACAAGGGTTAAGAAGACACTGTACTTCTGTGCTTAAAGCACTTGCTATATATTGAGAATTCAATAAATGGTAGCCATTGTGTTTATTTCTATGGCACACTCTTCTATCTTGTAGGGTCTTATCAACCCATTTTATGGAAGGGAAAATGAAACCTCAAGGATATCAGATGATTTGCTTAAGATTACAAAAGACACTGAGGTAACTCTGGCTTGGGACTCCAAAGCCTTGGTATTTTCTCCTACAGACAAGAAGGCTGCCAAAGATGTTTTAAAGGGATATTTCTCTTTACTTTAGGAGAAACATAAATTAAAATGTTGAATTTTGAAATAAAAGAATAACTCCTGTAAATTGTTCCCAGCTACAGGAGGAAGTTTTTGCTGCATTTCAATCTAAGTAGAACTAAAAGTGGTTAAGATGGTTAAAAGACTCAGGTATGGATAAAAAAGAAAACACAGAGGTTTATGGGCAGAATCAGGGCTATAGAATGTTAGTGCCAATTTTATGGTAATCCATGGAAAAGCCTATGGGCTTCTGAAGCAGGGCAGGCAACAACACCCCCCTTTTTTTATGCAAAGCTCAGCATAAATCTTCCAATTTATGGAAGATTATGTCTTTAAAGGCCTATTCTCTACCAGGTGCTATAAGCAGCTAATACCCATCATGTCATTTCATCCTTACTGCAACCCTAAGAGGAGCTCTGGCAGCGTACTATCTAAGGCACTTGACTGCTCACCAGAAGTGCTGGTGGTTCAAACCCACCAGCCACTCCTGGGAAGGAAGATGGGGCAATCTACTTCAGTAATGATACTGCCTTGGAAACCCAAGGAGGGGTCGCTATGAGTCGGGTCCGACTCAATGGCACATAACAACAACAGCAATTCTAAGAGGCATTATTACCCTCATTTTACAGATGATCTCCTGGAAGCTCAAAGACAGTAATCTGTCCAAGACCATTTAGTATCAACACTCATTAAAAGCCTGCTTGTGGGTTTTTGTTTGTTTTGTTTTAATTCTAGATCTTTCTGACTCCAAAATCTTGGACTCCACTCTATCTTGTAGTCTAGGGAAGTATCTTATTTATGCTTAAAAAAGGTGTCAAGAATGTATAAAGAACTCTTACAAATTACTAACAAGACAAACCAGTTTTCATATTGGGAAAAGGATCTAACTGAATGGACATTTATCCAACGATATACAAATGCCTAATAAGCATAAGAAAAGATGTTCAACTTCATTAGTCATCAGAGAAATGCAAATCAAAACCACAACAGCAACACTTCACACCCTCTAGGATGGCTAGGGGAGCTCTGGTAGCATAGTGCCTAAGGCACTTGACTGCTAACCAGAAGGCTGGAGGTTCAAACCCACCAGCCACTCCTGGGAAGGAAGATGGGGCAATCTACTTCCATAGTGAAACTGCCTCAGAAACCCAAGGAAGGGTCGCTATGAGTCGGGTCGCTATGAGTCGGGTCCGACTCGACGGCACATAACAACAACAACAACAACAGGATGGCTAGAATCAAAAAGATTCTTGTTAATCAAATTAACGAGGGTGGAGGATTCCCATTGCTGGTGGAAATGTAAAATGGTACCGCCTCTTTAGCAAATAGTTTGGCAGTTTCTAAAAAACAATAAACATGGACTTATCATGTGACCAAGCAATTCCATGCCTATGTGCCTACTGAAGAAAATTTAAAAAACCTTATGTCCACACAAGGACTTGTACACGAATGTTCACAGCAGGTGGAGATGGTGAGGAAACCATCTGTTCATAATAGCCAAAAAGTGGGAATCAGCTGATGAATGGATAAATAAAATGTGGTATCTCCAAACCCATTAAAACCCATTGCAATCGAGTGGATTCTAACTCACAGCAACCCTAAAGGACAGAGTAGAACTACCTCGTAGGATTTCCAAGGCTGTAAATGTTTATGGAAGCAGCCTGCAACATCTTTTTCCTGCAGAGCCGTTGGTGGGTTTGAACCACCAACTTTTCAGTTCTCGGCAGAGTGCTTAACAGCTGCGCCAGCAGGGCTCCCTATAGCTATACAATAGCAATTATTCGGCCATAAAAAAAGGAATGAAGCACTGATATGTGCTACATGGATGAATCTCAAAATTATGATGCTACAGGAAAGAAGTCAGACACAAAAGACTCATAGTGACCCCTCCTTGGGTTTCCAAGGTGGTATCTCTATGGAAGTAGGTTGCCCAATCTTCCTTCCAAGGAGTGGCTGTTGAGTTTGAACCACCAGCCTTATGGTAAGCAGTCAAATGCCTTAGGCACTAGGCCAGCAGAACGCTTATAAAAGTGTGTAGACCAGACAACTAGCTGCCTAGGTCTGGGGAGGTGAGGAGTGACTGCCAATGGACACAAGGTTTCCTTCTGAGGTTACTTAAATGTTCTAAAATTTAATTGTAGTAGTGGTTGCCCAGCTCTGTAAATATATGAAAAACTACTGTTAAACCACTATACAAGTAAAACAGGTGTACTTTATCTCAACAACAAAACTGTTTTTTAACGTCAAGTTGCATTTTCAAGAATGGCTGGCGTGACACGCATTTCTTTCTCCATCCCTCCGCACAAATCATCACCCACACAAACGAAGCGGATGGCTGGTACATGCGGATTTACAACGAGCTGGGTGAGCCCCTGCAGCAAGTATTAGTTTCTAAACTAAATGATTAAAAGACTGCTTCTAAAGTGAGGAGAGATGGCAGAGGCTGCTTATAACGTAAGGCGCCCCACAGTTCTGGCACAAAGCGCTCCCACCATCTCCACCTCTAGATTCTGTAGACACCGCTGGCGGAAGCAAGCGACAAGCTGTAGCAGTTACAGCTCGTTCAGTGGAAATGAGGGGTGCAGTTTCCATAGCTGCCTCCCAACGTCCGGGTACCCCGCCACCGTTCGCCAAGCAGACTGGGCTCTGGAACCAACAAGTACCTCCCCCAGCCCACCGCGTCCACCCTTCAGCCCAGAAGCTGAGCTTCGCGCCTTCTCCTTTTCGCGCTCCGCCTCCACAGAAATCCGCACAGACGTGGGGCCGGGCGGCTCGTCGTCGGCAACCAATCCCAGGCGGGCTGCGACCCCGCTAGGGAGGGAAGAGCGGGATCTTGGCGGCTCTGGGGCTATGCGCCCTTGCAGAGCCACGGTCCTGTGCGGGAGCTAATGACGGCTGATTCCGCTTGTCTCCCAAACAAAAAATATTTGCATGAATTGTGGAGTGAGTGTCTGCGGCCCGCCTGGCACTTTTGGAGCTTTGGGGCTTCCTTCATGGGTCTGAAAGGTGCATATGGCCCATACTTGGGTGGTTTAAAGGCAGCGCACTGCCGAGACCCGGCTCTGTGTAGATGGGAAACTACTTGTAAAGAAGTGAGGGGCTTTGCTTGCGAGGGCGCGGCCAGACCGCACGTGGAGCTGTTATCACCTTCTCCCGAACATGCACCCCCGGACCCGCCTCTCCCGGGGTGTGTAAGTCCGCCGTCCCGCTGGCCAGAAGCGCCTACCCAGTCGCCCCCGGATCTAGGCGGGAGGTGGCGGGCTGGGAGGCGCCAGCATCGGAGGGGAGGGGCACACGGAGAGGGTGGGCGGCCGTCCGTCGGTTCACCGACCGCCGCGACGCCAGGGACACTACCGCCACCTCTGCTGCATCCCCTCTGGTCCCTAGGAGTGCGGGGCGGGCTGTCAGGGGGCTTCCGTGGGCCCCACCTCTCCCGCTGTGGGAGGAAAAAGCAGAGAGGAGAGTCGCCCGCCGCCTCCGGACAGTCGCGAAGCCCCCGGGGCGTTCAGGCGCTGAAGACGAGCCCGGGCGGGGTCCGGGTGCGTCGTGCCTGTCGCCGTCCGTGTCCGGAGCGGCGGCCCGCGTCCGCCCGCTCGGCGCCCCGGGCCCCCGCCCAGGGCCGTAGGGGCCCCACCCTGCCGGGCGTGGGCGAGTGCCAGCCCCGGGCGAGCGGAGCAGCCCTCCCGGGGCCTCGCCGCGGCCTCCAGCGCCCCAGCCCCGGGGAATGCAGTGGCCCCCGGCCCCCAGGGATGGCCTCAGGGCTCGGGCGCTGCCCTGCGTGCGCAGCGCTTAGGATTTGTTTCCCAGAGACCAGCGATGCAGTGGCCCCCGGCCCCTGGAGCCTCTCCGTGTCTGCGCTGGGCCTCCTTGATCGCCTGCTCCGCGGCCACGACGCTCCTGAGCCGCACTGGCCGGGGCCCCCTCATGGCGGCCAAGTGGTTCAAGGAGTTCCCCCTGAACCTGAAGACGGTGTCGGAGCGGGCCAAGCCCGGCGGCGGCGGCGGGGGTGGCGGCGGTAAACTGCGCAAGAACTCGGAGGCGGGTGGCGCCGGGCCGACCCCGAGCAAGGGCCGTAAGAACTCGGCTGCCGAGCTGGGGAGCAGCAGGGCGGCTGGCGGCCTCCCCAAGGACAGCCGGCTGTCCCGGGACAGCCTGCAGGGGCTGATTCAGGCCGCTGCGGGCAAGGGCCGCAAGAACTCCCGGGCCACCGAAGAGGAATCCCACCGGGGTGCGGCCAAGAGCTCAGGCTGCAGCACCTACATCAACAGGCTCATCAAGGTGGACACTCAGGAGAAGAATGGGAAGAGCAATTACCCCAGCAGTAGCAGCAGCAGCAGCAGCAGTAGCAGCAGTTCGTCGTCGGCGTCCTCTTCCCCTTGTTCCCTGGGCCCTGAACTGGACAAGGGCAAAATGAAGCAGCAAGACACGGTAAGAATACAGCCTGCCTAGGACCACTTTTCCTCTACAAGAAATGAAACAGTGGGAGGGGAGCATGGTCGTGAACCTGCTATACACTAGGGTTCTTTGTATCTAGGAGAAGGTAAAGATGTGTTTCTGGAGGTTTTAAATTCAGTGACTCCTGAGTGACTTAGGAGACTTTATATTGGGAAAAAAGAAAAAAAAAAATCGTTCTAGGAATAGGGTCCTTTGCAGAAATGTACTATCCATTTAGTTTTGTTAACAGTTTATAAGAAAGTTGTTGAATGAGATATTCTTCTTTCATTAAATTCAACCTTACAGAGAGGGTTGGTGTTCCTGGGTGATGCCAACAGTTAACTAGCTTAGCTGCTAACCAAAAGCTTGGAGGTTTGAGTCTACCCAGAAGAGCCGCAGAAGAAAGGCCTGGGAATCCACTTTTAAAAATTAGCCATTAAGAACTCTAGGGAATGAAGTTGTACTTTGATACACATGGGGACACCATGAGTGGACAGCAACCAGTAACTGGTTATAAATGCGGTTGATTTTAATTTTGACATCCAGTGGAACCTGCAGAACTGAACTGGTATCATTATGTCCTTCTTGAGTATAAAAAATGGTGAACTGTAAACTATTTTAGTGTGGCTTTCAAAGTTTCAGTGAATAGGTTGGCCACTCCACCTCTTTGCTGGTTTGGAAATGCCATCATTCTTTACAGTTCCACTAACTAAAGGTTACTCCCTTTTCATTCATTCCATGAACATTTGGTGAGAGCAGTCATATAGGAAAAGGGGCACAAGGCCCTCATGGCTGTGGGGGATACAGAATATGACAAGGAAATGCCCTTAAGGAAATTACAGATCAAGAGAGAAGAAGGTGTTTCCTGGTTTTTACACTGGAAGGTTTCTGGGTTCTGTCCAACGTGGGAAAATTAAGAAAAGGAGTGTAAGGAGGGACTCACTCCATTCTTAGAGGATGAATTGATTTTTTTAATCACTTCTCCTTGAGAGGGGGAGAGAGAAGAGCACAAACTGAGCTTTCAGCCTCCGGCTCAGGCAGTGACTTCCTGTCATGGAAATGTTTTCTCTTGCCCAGGCTTCAGACACCACCTAGGGCCTGCAGCACAGGCCATGTTGCCTGCATTGAGTACTTTTATTCAATCCTCCATTCATTCTTTCTACAAATATTTATAATGTGCCTACCCTGTGTAAGCTCTGAGGGGAGAGCCATGGAAGATGGATGAAGACCCAGTTCATATATTTACCACTGCTGTATGTAATTCTTGAATAGATGGTCATTCTTTGAATAGATGGTCATTCTTTGAATAGATCGTAGGCGTCTTGAAGCCCAGGGCTGAGTATCATGTTTTATATTCCTCACCGTGCCTTGCAAATACAGTGCACACAGTGAGCAGTCAAAAAGAATGGATCGAGTAAATGAGTGGCAATCACAGTCCCCTGCAGCTGCTTGCTGCCTGGTTATTTTCACAGACAGTGCCTCTGGATATCTGAGTTTCTTAGACCATCTCCTCCAAGGCGGAGGGCTCTGTCCAGGCTGTTCCCACTTGCTCACTTAGTATGAAGCATGCCTGGAGCTTCCTCTCTGATAAAGGTTCCCTAACCTCCCAGCTGCTGCAAAACCAGGACTAGTCCATACATACATACATACAAGCATATTCCATAACATTTCTCCAGCATTTCCCTGTGTTTGGCAGGATAGATATTTTATGGCAGAGAGAGATCAAAACTCTGACTGTAGCCTATACAAACCAGTCTGCTATGAATTGCTGAAACTAGAACTCCCACAATTCTGTTCATATTGCCCATTCATGAAGCCTGTTTCTTTACAGCTTTTATACATTCCTTGAGGCGAGGAAGCAGCCTTGGGCTTATAGCGTAGTGGCTAAGGCACTTGCCTGCTAACCAGACGGCTGGCGGTTCAAACCCACCAGCCACTCCTCGGAAGGAAGGTTGGGCAATCCTACTTCCGTAGTGATACTGCCTCGGAAACCCAAGGAGGGGTCGCTATGAGTCGGGGCCGACTCGACGGCACATAACAACAACAACAACGGGTGCCTCAGATGACTCCCTCAGGTAGACATTCAGTAGTTAGTGGGTGCTTGACTGACTCCCCATGACTACGTTACTGGAGTAATCACTGAAGCTAAAAGACCCAAATTATGGGGTATGTGGTAGGCCAGTTCATCTCTTTATAAAGTCATCCCACATTCCTCACCACCCACCCCTGTCACCCTCTAACCCGGCAAATGCTTTATTGTTTGGGGTGGGAAACAAACAAACAAACAAAAACCCAAACTCACTGCCATGGAATCTGATCCAACTCATATCGACCCCTCCTTGGGTTTCCAAGGTGGTATCATTAAGGAAGTAGATTGCCCAATCTTCCTTCTGAGGAATGGTTGGTGGCTTTGAACAACCACCAGCCTTCTAGTTAGCAGTCAAATGCCTTAGGCACTACACCACCAAAAGAGCCATGAGGATATGTGAAAGTTTATGTAAATTGTTCCAAATCAATTATACTGCAAAAAAAAAAAAGTATTTGTCCAACTGGGTAAATGACATGTTCAAGTACAAAAGCTATCCGGAACTCTTTGGAGATTTTGACCTCTCTTTGGATCTGCAGGAGATTTCAGTAGCCATTTTGATACCGTTGACATTTTGGTATAATAATCCTTAGCTACTATCTCCTCTCTTGTTCTTTTACAGGTCATCATTTTAGAAGACTATGCTGACCCCTATGATGCCAAACGGACAAAAGGTCAAAGGGATGCAGAGAGAGTAGGAGAAAATGATGGATACATGGAACCCTATGATGCACAGCAAATGATAACAGGTCTGTAACCAGGTGCTACTTGATAAGAATGGAAATCTCACACTTGCTTGAGCATCATAATATACTGACTCTTGTGACATTAGTTGCTGTTGAGTCAATTCTGAATCATGGTGACCCCATTATGTGCAGAATAGAACTCCATGGGGTTTTCAAGGCTATGACCTTTTGGAAGCAGATGGCCGCACCGACCTTCCTACATGCTCTGGGTGGGTTTAAACTGCCAACCTTTTGGCAGTGCTTAACTATTTGTACCACTAGGCAACTCCTGTACTAACCCTAACCAGTGCATATTTGAGAAAGAGGGATAAAGCAACTTAGCCATATCCTACTGACTGAAAGAAACAACAATTAGACTAAAAAAGTAAGATTGAATTATCTAATTAACTTCCTTTACAGTTTTGCATCCTCCAGAATTGTAGTTTGCAGAGGTCTTTACATTTTTCTAATTCTAGGCAAGATGACACTTGTGAGTTTACAGATCTACTCAGAATGTGAGATTATTTGTATGTTTCTTGGCCACTTTCAGAAGCTTTGGCATCCATAATGGGAGTCACAAATCTGTATCAAGGGACAAATACATACTCGATAGGATTTTAGATTGTTAAAAGATGCAAACATGACATGATCCTCTGTATTGTAGAAGATTGATTTCTGAAAAAGCTGTGCAACATTGGAGCAAAAAGTTTAATTACAAGGAATGACTACTAATCACTAGTGTGAACAAGCCAGTCAAGGCAAACCACCCAACAGCAAAGTTGATTAATCTTGCAATTTTTCAAGTTGGCCTATGTTCTGGTTACCTAGTGCTGCTCTGACAAGACAAAGGGATGGCTTGAACAAACAGGAGTTTATTCTCTTACAGTTTGGAGGCTAGAAGTCCAAGTTCCAAGTGCCAGGCTCTAGGGGCTGGGTGAAAGGCCCTCAACCTTGGGCTTCAGCTCTGCCTCCTGCTCCCAGCCCACTGGGAGCCACTTTTCTTCACTCAGACAGCTGCTAGCTGCTGAGGCTGACAAGCCCAAGGTTGACAAGCAAAAAGGCACAGTCCCAATGTTACCAAATACGGCAGGCCATTAATTCAAGTCCATTGAAAGTCCCAAGGTCGGCAGAGCATGGCAGGCTGCTGAACAATGACAGACATAGCTACATGCAGGGTTTAAGCGTGCCAAAAAGCTAGAGACCTTTCTCAAAGCTGCTTCTTATACACTGGAAGCAGACCATAGCCCTAAAGCAGCCACTCAGCTGCTCCAGGAGATTCCACCATGGAACTGATTGCCAGTCTCATCATGGGGAATAACTCCATCCAGCTGCCCAGCCACTCAACCAGGCCCAGCCAAGTTGATACACAAACTTAACTACCACAGCCTGATTCCAGCTTTTGAGGTAAGCAATCACTATCAGCTTTGGTATCAAACTTTTTTCTCTTTGATTCAGTCCTTTTAATTTAGTGCAAATGATATTTAAATAAAACATAGTTACTTAGGTTTATTTGTGATTTTTAAAATAAATTATTTAATTCATTTAATTTTCCTTAAACTTTCTTTGATCCATGATGAAAAATACAATTATGAATGCTGACTCAAGGGAGCTTTGTTAGAGTGTCCTGGGTTACATGCCTGGGAAAGAAATAATTGGTCACACATTAAAGACTTTGTTTGAAAACAGATTGAAAAGCTGTCAAGTTCAGGCTGCACGAGCATAGTCTCAGAGTAGTTGCGCAGACGGCTAACTGCCGCCGCCTAGAAGGGTCAGGACAGGCTTCGGAACGAAATGAGCTGCAACAGGAAAGCACTGCTCAGTTTCCTGCTTCTCTGCTGACAGAGATAAGGTGTGCATTTGGGGAGGGTGCACCCTGGCCACACTGTGACCCTGAGGGCCACTGGACTGTGACCCCTAATGAAATCTGTGAATGAAAGGAAATGAAAATGAACTTTGTTCAAATTTTAAAAAATATCAGAGGTTGGAAAGAAATAGGAAAATGGGTTTAATTTTATGTAAAATTGAGGAAAAGGAATATCTAAAAAAAGAGCTAAGGCTTAATTTATTTTCACCTTTCTTTGTCCTTTGGTTTTTATCCTTCTCTTTCTCTTTAACTGGAATAAGTGTTTATCTGTACCATACCAGCTGTTGATATGCAGAGTCACTAATAATGGGGAAGGTGCTATGCTTTTTAAAAATGAATATATATATATATACACATACATACATATATATATATATATATATATATATATTTTTTTTTTTAAACATATACTCCCTTCATCCCAAAAGCTCTTTAAGCTAGGGAATAACAATATTATTCCCTGGTTCCAAAAACCAGACCCACTGCCGTTGAATCAATTCCAACTCATAGCATCCCTACAGGGTTTCCAAGGCTGTAAATCTTTATGGAAACAGACTGTCCCATCTTTCTCCCATGGAGTGGCTGGTGGGTTCAAACTTCCAACCTTAGTTAGCAGCCAAATGCCTTAACCACTATGCCACCAGAGCTCCTTATCCCCTGGTTACAGAGTTAAAAAAAAAAAAAAAAAAAAAAAGATTAGGGAGACTCTGATTTGCTTATGCTCACAAGAGAGTGGAAATTAGAACGCAGCTCTTCCTACTCCAGATTGAGTGGTCTGCTCCCTATACCATGCTTTGAAATGATGTATGCAAAAGCACTTGAAATTTTACATCTAAGTAAGACATCTTTCCACTCAGGTTCACAAAGAAAGTTGTATTCAAAAGTCAAGATTCTCCAACTCTGAATAAGTGTTATAATAACAGTAACCAAAAACAAAAACCAAACTCACTGCCATCAAATCAGTTCAACTCATAGTGACCCCTCCTTGGGTTTCTAAGGCTGTATCTCTACGGAAGTAGATTGCCCAATCTTCCTTTCGAGGAGTGGCTGGTAGGTTTGAACCGCCAGCCTTCTGGTTAGCAGTCTAAGCACTAGCATTTAATACTTGAGTGTTTATTAAGATCCAGGCTCTGTCTTAAGCAGTTTACAGGAATAAACTTACTTAGATACACAAAAGTAATGTATTCAAATTGGTGAATAAATGACAATGTATTAGCAATTTAAATAACTTTGTACGTTAATAATCTAAATATACTTTTTTCTTAATTAAAAAACTTACATTAGTATATTTTAAAGTTGGTTCATTTTTAAAATCAAAGCCCCTTCTCATTCAGTGTAGAGAATCTACCTCAACTTATTCTCCCCACAGGTTACACAGCTGGACAGAATAACAGGAAGTGAGTTATCGGAAACTGGAAATAAAAGATTTGCTGTTGGGTTTTTGGTTTTGTTTTGTTTTGTTTCCCCCCTGAACCTTTTACTTTTTGTTGTTGTTGTTCAGATTTCTTGGTTATCAAATCCAAGTTCAGAAATTTTTAATATTTATTGAGAAATGTGGGATTTTTTACATTTGTTTCATCATTTCCATTTCTGCACGAGATGGAAAGGGTGCTAATGAATATGATTTAACCGTGAAGCACCCAGCCTCTGCCCTGCCCTTTTCTACCTGTGAAGTGGAGATAGCACACCTGATTGTAACAATAACTTGAATATACAGAATACTGCCTATGATGTTGCTTTTCAGTCCCAAGAGGGAGGTATTAACTCATCTACCAAGTATTTATTAGACATTTATCTACCATGTACTAGGCCCTGTTCTGGGCTCTGGGCACACAGCAGGGAGCAAGACCCACAAGATCCCAGCTCTTGTGAACTTACAACCTAAAGGAGAAACAAACCTAACACCAGTAAAAGAGAAAATAAGTCGTTGCAAAGAGTGGTAAGTGCCATGAAAATAAGGAGGGAATCACACTGTGTCAGGATCCAGAAACAAAGCAAGAAATGGAAGCTCTTAAGTTCATTTCTTTCCTATGGCCAGATAACTGTGAGGCAAGAAGCCAGGTTTCCTAGGTCCCCCAAAACCTTTATGACTCAATTCTCACTTAGATTTTTTTCATAAAAAGATAACTATGAATAGAGACAGTATTAGTATAAAGCTCTTTATTGTCCTTTTGCTAAATTAGCATGAACGTTTTGGCTAAAATCATTGGCAGAAGTATTCTACATAATTTAGCATTATGAGTTTTAACCACCAAATTAAAACTTTAGCATTGGTAGGGTCTTTAGATGTAACCTAGAACTACCATCATTCAGTGTGAGAATTCCTTCTACAGTTGCTGTCATACTTGCTACTACCAGGTGACCGCTTACTGGGTACCAGGCTTTCCAGATCACCTCACAAACAATACTGTAGCATGCATTTCAAAAGTATCTGTTTTACAGTTGAGGTAACTAAGGCTCAGAAAGATTAAGTAATCTATCAGATTCCACAGCTGAAAAGTAGAGGTATCAGGTCATCCAACAACCTTTGTTTTTTAGCTCCTGAGCTCCAGCTGAATGTTTTGGGAGGTGATTTTTCAAAAAAAAATCTTACTTTTGCCTCTAAAGCATTTTCTTTCTTTATTTAAATAATCAAATCTAAAGAACAACCTCATTGTTTGGGCCTCCATTAAAAAAATATATATTAAAGGGGAAATAAAGTAGAGAACTGTTTTCAATTTACTTAATTTGTCTCTGCTTCTGGTTAGCAGTCAAATAAATGCCTTAATCATTATGCCACCAGAGCTCCTTCCTTTGTTAAATTTCAGGATTTCTGAATTATGAGTTTGTTCATATCTTGAGATTTATTGATAATAAAATACTCAAGTTTAAATAAAGAAACTTGAACATTGATAAAAAGAAGTCAGTAAAAAAAAATTTTACCTAGCCATCCTGTTTAAGATCCTATAAGGAAAATAGCCCACAACCATATGAGGCTCTAAGTTCAAAGCTTTGGAAACATTGTGAAATGGATTAGGGGAAAAGGTGCCTTACTGAGAAATTGTAATTAACATTTTACATGAAATCTTCCTTTTGGGTATAAAGGATAGTAGGGTACAGGAAGCATGGGCTCTGGAGTCAGGAATAAATGCCTCCTCCTTTCACTACTGCCTAACGGTGG